GGGTTTCTATGAGCTGTGGTGAGTTTCCAGTGCCTGACCCCGCCCTTTCTCTCTATGCGTCTCTGTTTCTCTCACGGGCTCTCATTTTCTCTTCCCTTCTCCCCTGCTCTCCACCCATTTATCCCAGGGCAGTGCCAGAGTTGTGTAGAAGGTCACTGTGCCCAGATGTACTTAGCCAAGGTGGTTACCCTCCCTGGACCTCAATTGGGATCTAGTAAATGGGGTTACCACTAGCCCTGCCCACCTCACAGTACTGAGAAGGGGAATGAAAACGTTGTGTGTATTACGAAGTTCTGTGTAGGCACAGGTGATTCAATATTCAGAGAAGATCTGTTCATAACAGTCCTAAACTGGAAATATCCCAAACGGCAATCAGCAGCGGAGTGGATAAATACATTGTGGTTGATTCAACACAGGGACTACAACAGAGCAATAAAAAAGAATGAACCACCACCACCCACAAGAACACAGATGAGTCTCCCAGACATAATGTTGAGTGAAATAAGCCAGACACAAGAGTAAACATACTGTATGATTCAATTTCTATGAAATTCAAAAAGACGCAAAACTAATCTCTGATGGTACAAGCAAAAAAATAATAATTTCCTTTAGGAGATACTGACTTGGAGGGGAACATGTGGGCTGCTTCTGGGGTGCTGGAAATGTTCTAGATCCTGATCTCGTTCATGTACATGTGCCAATTGATCAATTTGTGTACTTGACAGTATGTGAGTTATACCCCAACTAAGATATGTAAATTACTAGAATTACTGTTCGGAGCATCTCTGTGTCAGGAGATAGGAGGGCTTTTTGGAAGGGAATTAAAAAGTGGTTTTGCTGTTCCTTCTCTTTTCTGCTCTCATCTGTTCCCCTTCCCTACCAACCTCTTTAAATAGGAGCCTCTAGTTTCTCAACATTCTTTTATTCCCCTTTTACTCCTTCATTGGAACCCCTACTATAGACCAGGCACTGTTAAAGAAGCTGAGGATGCCACATATCTCTCTACCTTTATTTGTTCAATAAACATATATTTAACATCTACTCTGAGCCGAGCACTGAGGCATTTTCTCTCAAGCCGGTCCAAGTGGCAAGGAACTGGGCACAGACTATCTGGGCTCCTTTCCAGTGTTCGCCTGTGGTTCCAGAAAAGGAGAAAGGTGCCTACTATATGCAGATATGCACTTAATCCTCTACAACCCAGCTCACAAAAATGGAAACCAGCGGGGGTAGAGTTCAGACCCAGGTATGTCTGATTCCCATCCCATTCCCATGGCCTCCCAGGAGCCAGGTTAGCCTAGCCCTCTCTCCAGGCATCTCTGGCTGACAGCTTCTAAGATGGCACCCATTGATTCTTGACTCCAGGTATTTATGTCCTTATATAGGCCCCTCCCACACTCAATGGGCTTGACCTGTGTAACCAATAGGATATTGCAGAAATAACAGTGTTTGTCTTCCAAGGTTAGGAAATAAAAGATATGGCTTCCACCTTGCTCCTTCTTGAATCACCCTTTCTGAAGAAGCCAGCAGCCATGTTGTGAGGACACTCAAGCAGCACTATGGAGAGGTCTATGTGGCAAAAAGCTGAGACCACCTGCCAAGAGCCACCCCCAACTTGCTAGCCACATGAATAAACCACCTTGAAAGTGGGTTCCCCAGCCCCACTCAGGCCTTCAAATGACTACAGGCAAGCTGACATCTTTACTACTCCATGAAGGACTCTAGGCCTCCAGCTAAACTGTTCCCAAATTTCCACCCCACAGAAACTGGATGAGATAAACATTTCTTACTGCTTTAAGGTACTAATTTGGGGGTACTTTTCATTACATTGTATTGCTACACATAACTAATACAGCCCCTCTCCAAGCCATGGGTTCATGCTATAGGAACAGTCTAGAAGGTGGGATATATGAAGGCATCCAGAACCAGCCACTTACTGGAGAGATGACCAGAGTGAGCTGAAGTTGAGAGGACAGGAGACAATCAACCCCAGCAAGAAATCCCCAGTGTGTGGGAAAAGAACTGTAAAATAAGAGACCAAGCAGAGCAGAAATCCTGGCGCCTCCTTCCTAAAAATTTCTCACACACTTCATCTATCTCAGTAAATGGAACCACGTGCACCTGGTTACTCTGGCCAAAAACCTGAGAGAGATCCTTGAGCCCATCCTCTTTCCCACACCCAACATCCCATCCATCAGCCAGGCTATGGGCTCTATCCCAGAATGCATCTCAGACCGGGCCCCTTCTCACAGTCTTTCCTACAAGCCCCATGGACTAAGCCACTAGCTTCTCTCATCTGGTCACCATCAGTGGCTTTTTGGCCCATCTCCCAGTATCTGCTCAAGGCCAGAGTGGCCTTCTCAAAGTGGAAGATCAGCTCATGTCACTTCTGCTCAAAACCCCTCCAGGACTCACTACTCTCTACTACACATCCTCTTTCAAGTCTAACAAGTTCATCTCATCTCAGGGCCTTTTCACTTACTCTTTTCATCCCTCAGATCATCATGTAACATCAGTTGGGTCCCATCTTACACAATACTTCCTCTACAAAGTTTTCCTGTGCCACCCAAGCCTAATCCCTTCTAACCCACTGCTCTAATTCATTTCCTTACATGACTTGTTTGCCTACTTACTGTCTGTCTCCCCTATTAGAATGTCAGGTCCATGAGGGCAAAGGCCTTATCTGTCTTGTTCACCTAGGACAGTTTCTGGCACACAAAAGAGCTCTGTAAACATTTGTTTAATGAGTCCTGTCTCAAGGTAAGGGGATGGACGAGAGGACCTCCAAGTCAAAATGTTTATGAAATACAGAGGACAAAGCTCTGTTGTGTGCTCTGGGGCTCACATTGCCCTTTCAAGCGAGAGGAAAAGGAAGGCCAGTAGTAAGCGTTGTGGTTTATGGGGAGACTTGCCAGCTGGGTGGGGCTCACGCCACCAGTAAGTCCCATTTTCTATAGAGGAAAATCTTATAACAAACCCCATCTGTCTGTCCAGCCACTGCCCTGCCAGTCCACCTCTCCCCTCCTGGCTGGCCTTGGCTGGGCAGAGCAGTATTGCTGCAGCCTGGTGTATCCTGAGCCCCCAGCATTTGCCAGAATTGCTAGGCAGACTACACCCCCACCCAGAAGTCACCTTTAGCATCCCTCTGTCTCCATGCAGGAGGTGACTGTACAACAAAAGGCCGACTCTGTCACACCTCTCAGGGTCTCTGGGCCCCCCATTTGCCCTACTCAGACCCTTCACTGCCAGTACATCCATCACCTAATCCTAACAGTATCCTCTGCTGCAAGAGATGGGAGGCAAAGCGGGAGGGGCAGGTGAGGTTCAAGAAGAAATGTCTGCTGGTAGGCAAGAAGAGACAATTAGAAGAAAGCTCAAAGGCCCCAGGACAGAGATGAGTGGGGAATTACACTGAGATACCATGGGGAAGTCATTCAACCTTTGGGTGCCTCAGTTTCCTTATCTGTAAAACAACAGATCTTTTGGTCTGTTTTATGCTTTGATGGAATTAAAAGAATAAAATCAGATAATGCATTGAAGTGCTTAGGCCTAGGGCACTGTGCAAATGTCCACTGCTATTGAGAGAAACAAGTGTAGGGAGGAGTCAACTGGGGAGAAGCAAGAACACCTGAAGATTCTGGGATGAAGGGTGAAAAAACTCTGCTCTGGATGAAGACAACAGGAGGGAGATGGAGGGAGAAGCAGAAACTCAACCCCACTGAAGGAAGAAAAAGCTGAGGGAGTCAGAAAGGTGGAAAACAAGAGAGGGGCAGAAGTTGTACAGACGTGCCCCTGTGAGCCAGGCCCTTTGCACCTCTGCCAGAAGAACACTCCAACCTGGAGTTTGCAGGTGGGGAGATGCTCCCAGCCAGGCTGTGTACTTTGCTTGAGCAAGGTCACACAGGAGGAAGTGGATTCCCTCCAATACCTGCCTGCTCCATCAGCACCCTTCTCTATGGTAACACTTGGCCCTCGGAGCTACCAATTGATAATAACTCATTGCTATGTTTCTGAGTGCCCAACATGTGTCAAGCACTGTGCTGGACACTTCACACACATTATCCCATCTCATCCCCATAACAACCTTTTTTTATTCCTGCATCCTTGAGGATGAAACAGAGGCTGAGAAGTTACTTGCCCAAGGTCATCCAGCTAATAACACAAGAGATATAAGCAATAACAGAGACAGTGCAGAGATTGGCTGCATATGAAAGGTTAAGGCCAAGTATTTCCACCTCCAGAGAGCTACTTTCCTCCCCAAATAATCCATCATAATCCATCCCCCCATTACTTTAAGAAGCCACCACCAGCTGCTCCCTCAAGCCTCCGTCTTGGCCCTAGAGGATGCCCAGGGGTCCAGCCAGCCTGGCCAACCAGGACCCACCAATCCCTCTGGTCTTCTAGTTTTCCTCTCCCACCAGCCAGGAAACACTGATGGGGAAACTGAGGACCAAAGCAGGGCCTGACCAATAAAAAGAAGAGGATGGTCCTTCAGGAGATTCCAGGACCAGCGCGACTTTGACCTCCAACCCCTTTCCACCTCATCTCACGTCCCCAACTATCCCCTTTCCCTCCAGGGTCTGGTGGCTGTGATCCCATCCCGAGTTTTTTTAAACCGCCCAAATCCGACCAACCTGGGCTCTGCGCGGCATTCAGAATAATTGAAAGGCATCCCCTCCCCCTCGACGCCCCCACCCCCTTGAGAACTAGGGGAAATACCTTCGAAGGCCCCTCTCTCGGAGCTCAGTCCCCACCAGCAACCTCCCGCAGCCACGAGGCTGCGCACCGAGCCCCGCACCCAGATTCATCTCGCTCCCCCGCCCGGCCCCAGGCCATCCCCTTCACCTTGACCTGAGCCCGCTCCTGCCCCAAAGCTTTGCATAAACAAAGAGAGGAGGAGGGGACGACCCCAGCACCGCCCCGCCCCACCGGCGCCCCCCATTCCAGCCCGGGGACCCCGAGTGCGTCCCATCCCTGCCCCCGCGGGGACCGCGGCCCCTTACCTTAGCCTGGCATTTCCGATGACAGGAGAAGCTGCAGACTGCAAGAGGGCGAGACACAGAAAGAA